TTAAGCAAAAATGATTTGTCTCATGTAGGCAGCACCATGGGGTCACAGGGGCTACATTTAGGTTCGCAGGGACCCATCCTTCACGTGGCTGAAATCCTTCACTTTTCATTTGGCTGCAGATACTATTTTATTGTTTGATGTTTATTCACATCACTTTCCAACACACCTATAGTCTTTTGACCATTGTGTTAATGGCACGAGTCCCTTCGATTTGCCTCTGGCTTTACTGCTAGAGAGGTCCAAGGATTAGGCTTAGAAGCCATGAAGACTCCTCTGGTTCCCATTTACAAAAGCTGGGAAAAAGCGAATGGACACAGGGGGGCAGCAGCTGATCCTGTCTGCGGGGGCGCTTAGCTTTCTTTCTACCCATCTCTTTGTTGAAAGCCTCTTGTCTGGGAGAAGGCTTGTGGATGCTAACTCAGTGGGCACCGTTCCCTCAATCAGACTTCGTTTGATGCTTCGTAGTGGTGTTCATGAGGCATCAACAGTGGAAGAACTCCTGCCCCAGATAACAGGGGTTTGAAATCCCACTTTGCCACGTGGCATCCTTACGTGCATCCTGCCCGCAGAGCCGGTTTCCTTCTCTGTACAGAAGGCGCCACCTGAGACTCCATCACGGGAGGCAAGCTGTCAGTTCTGGTATGCTCTGTAAACGGTAGATTTTTCAAAACAACATTGTTACGAAAATGACTATTTTTCTCGAAGGCTCATTTGTTTTCCTTTTTTCAGGGGAAAAGTTTTTCACTGACGGCATTGATGATGTCCCAGTCTGAGCCTGTAAGAACACTGATTTCTTTCAGACATTTCCCTTGGCCTCTGAGAATCGCTCAGCCTGTGTATATGCTATATGCTCATTATTTACAACTGAGGCTCCTCTGTAGCGTCCCCTTGCTGTGCAGACATTTTTACACTGGGTGGCAGGTTGGATTCCAGAACATGACCAAAGCAGAGAGAGAGAGAGTTGAGACACATCAGCCTTTTATTTCTCTTCTCCGATTCCAGTCTCTTTATCCCTGTCATTCCAAAGATAGGAGATGATCCTGCCTCCGATTCTCTGGCCTCTTTTTATTTTAATTCTTGCTAAAAACACGCATCATGATTTAGCAGCTGTCATGTTGGACGCAGTGAGAAGAGCTGGCCAAAAACCTATGGAAGGAGAAAGGAGAAGCTCAGTGTGGAGAACATCACACCGGGGGTGTAGGGGTTTATTGGAGTGGGAGCGTATGATTGAAAACACGTGATGTCCAGAGACCAGTGTGGTGCTGGGACCTCTGCTGGGCTGGTATCGTGGAGCGGTCCCGATGATGGCAGGTGATGTTCGGCAGTGTGCTTGGCACTTTATATATGTCACGTGCCCTCACGGTAGCCCCAGGGGGCAGGTACTATTATGACTTTTATGTTTTCCTGAAGAGGAAGCTGAAACTAGGAGATTATGTCGTTTGCTCCTGGTCACATAGCTGGTAAATGGTGGAGCAGGGGTTTGAACCAGCTTTGTCTCAACCTAGAAACAGTTCTTAACCACCGAACCATATGCCTCAGTAGAAAGCTGTGTTTCGTTGCTAGTGATGGGCAAGGAGATTGTCACATCACCTCCCGTTTCCAGGTTGCACTTGTGAGGTCTCTGAGTGGAGGAAGTCTCTGGCCAGCAGAGTTGGGATGTCATGCCCATTCCAGAGGGAGCCTGTCAAAGGAGCACTGATGAAAAGGAGGCCGCAATGAAGCAGAAGATCCATCTTACACCCCCCCTGCCTTCCCACTGCCTCCCCACCTTCGTCTTTATCATCAATGTGCATTGTATATTCATTTGTGTAATTGTTCCTCATTTGTGGACTGTAAGCTCCGGGAAGGCAGGAATTGTACCCATGGTGTTTCCTGTTATACACCCAGGATCTAGAACTCCTGGCACACGGTAGGTCCTCAGTGCATATTTCTTGAGCATATGAATGAAAAGAGATTGAAAAGATGGAAAAGAAGTGATTGAGAAATGAGTGAAGGGTAGGAGTTGGAAAGATTTTAGAGGACTTTTCGTCCGTCTCCTCCTCTCACAGTGGTGGAACCTGTGTTTCAAAGAGGGTAACGAATGCTAACTGAGCACCTGATGTAAGCGGAGACTTAAGTTCTCTCATGTCATCTGCTTGGAGGCAGCTCCAGGAGGCCGCACGACACCTCTCTTTTCTGACCTCCTCTGAAATGTGGTTGTAAAAGGGTGCCTGGGTGGTTCAGTCGGTTGAGTGTCCGACTCTTGGTTTCAGCTTGGGTCGTGGTCTTGCTGTCCTGGGATCGAGCCCCGCATTGAGCCCCACCCCACTGAATCGGCTTCTTTCCCTCTCCCTCTGCCCCTCCCCACGCCACTCTCTCTCTCTCTCTAAATAAACAAATTTTAAAAAATGTTTAAAATGTCCATCCTTAATGATCTCTCCAGGGGCCTATGAGAGACACTGGCAGATTGGCCCCCTTCCAGGTGAGGCGGTCTTGGCTGGGCCCCGTGCTGGTAACTGCCCCGCACTCACACCCTCTAGGGACGTCCCTGCCAGGGATGGAGTAGTAAACGTACAAGTCCCAGCACAAACACATGTGTGATGCCAGTCTTGGTTTGCGATATATTTTGGGTACAAAGTGAAAAAGGCTGGGGTGCCTGGGTGGCTCAGTCGGTTAAGTGTCTCCCTTCAGCTTAGGTCATGATCCCAGGGTCCTGGGATTGGGCCCCGCATCAAGGGAGCCAGCCACGCAGAGATCCGGGGGAAGGAAGATGACGGAGAACGCGGGGCAAGCATCTAAGGTAGAGGCGAGCTTGGTGTGTTTGAGGGACAGCAGGAAGGGCAGCAGGGCGGACGTGGCATGAGCAAGGAGGAGAGTGGTAACAGATGATGGAGGGGGGGTTAGGCGAGGCGGATTACACGGAGTCTTGAAGGCCAGGGTAAGGTGCTTAGGTCTTATTCTAGCAGGATGGGGAGCCTGTTGGAAGGTTTTAAAGAGACGGGAAGGTACAATGTGATGTTTTTATAACATGGCAGTGTGTGGAGGACAGGTTTGAGTGCGGGACAGTGGAAACAGGGAGACCAGCTCGGAGGCCGTGGCAGTGGGTGGAGAGACAGGTGGTGGGGCTGGGACCAGCCTGGCGGCCGTAAGGATGGAGAAAGGACACAGATTTTAGATTTATTTTGGAGATGGAGTCAACAGGACTTAAGCTAATGTGGACGAGGAGATTGTCACATCACCGCCCGTTTTCAGGTTGCACTTGTGAGGTCTCTGAGTGGAGGAAGTCTCTGAATTCTCTCTGAATGAGAGAGTTCATGTGAGGAGCGAAAGAGTGGAATCAAGGATAAATCCTAGATTTTTGGCTCAAGCATGTGGTATTGGTTCTTCTGATGGGAGGCTAAGGGAGAGCTTGCTTGTGGGAAAAATTCAAGAGTTCTGTGTTGGACCTGTTATCTCGGAGACATGAGGAGACGTTTAAAAGTGAGACTTGAAAGATGAACGGGATTTCATCGGGAATGGGAAGGAAGAAAGCACGTTTTGGAAAGAACAGCGTGGGCCGTGGAAGGCCGTATGTAGCGGAGTGGGGGAAGATAGATCGTCCGTCCGTGTGGCTGGTGCATGTCTGAGATGACAGGAGAGGAGTGGAAAGACATGTTATTGTGATGAAAAAGAGAGAATGCGTTCTTTTTGCACTTGGATCCTTATGAGAACCCAAGCATTTGTGTTGAGTGGGATAAGTAGGAAGACATTAACCCATCACGCTGATGTGCCAGAAATACACCCTATCAGAGTTCTTCTCAAAATCAAATGGCGGTCACCAAACGGTAAAGCTACCTCATTGACTATGGTTTCTTTTTTGGTGGTGCTCTGTACAGGGTCCACTCTTGGTCTGAACCTCTGGTGTAGCACCTGCTGTGTAGACAAGGAGGGCTCTGCTGGTAGCTGCTCAGTCCCCTTAGACCCAAGATCTTCTTTTGGTAATGAGTGTTTTGTAGCATCCCTTTTGCCATACTGAAATAATAGTCGTGGTTACTATAACCAGCTTACACAAATCGCCGCAAACGATATAATATTTCGGCTGTAACAAAGGAGAAGTAAAAGGAAAATGGTTTAAAACAAAATATGCATATCAATACACAAACGTTGAGCATAAGGAAGGATTTAGATGTGGCATGATTTTCAAAATAGCCAGTAGGGTCTCAGTAAAGATCTGAACACATTTGTTGCTTAATTTACACGGTAGCTGCATTCCTGAAAATTCAGTGTATTTTAAGATCATGCAAAGAAAATGCTCCGTGTTTGTATGTAACAGTGAGGTTCCAGGCTCAGCCAATTATAAAACAGCTTCTCACCTGAAAGAATGTTGTTATGACATTAGAATGTTGTGCAGGAGTGTCTGGAGCGTTGTGAGACATCTTAGCACCTCTGGCTCCTGCCCATGAAATGTCCCCCAAAGTTTTTGGGAATGTCCCTGTGGCTGGTACCAGCCCTGCTAAGAACCACAGCTTTGGCTGTTCTGTGGGCCATGGGGATGCTGATATCCCTGCATCAGAGGACAGGTTGACCCCCCCATCCCCCGCCCCCCCAATCTATGCTGTAACCGTTGTGTGAACGGGGCACTGTCTGCCTTGTTCCTGTTCTATCCCTAGGGCTTGGCCCAAGGTGTGTCCTTAGAAAACATGGTTGAAGGAAAGGATGGGTGGATGCATCAAAGGATGGACAGATGGAGGGATGAAAAGGGATTTTTCTCTTTGTTCTGTTTCATGGAGCAATCCTTTAGTTTTTTTTCTTCTTCTCTGTTATGAGTTGGGAAGGCTTTTAAAAATGATCCATGAGATAAGAAGTAGTAGAAATCTCTTCTACTCCACCTCTTGAATAACAGGTGCTTTGATCAAAATGTCTATTTTTCTCTGAATGCCATCTCAGCTGTCACCTGCCTAAGCTTTTATTTTGTTAAACTCAGGAATGTAGATCATTTTGAGAATGTAAATCTACTTATGGCTTTTCTTCTTTCTTTCTAGTGTGGGAGGAGTTGGCCTGCTATGAAGAAAACACACGGGATTTTCTTTTCCCTGAACCCAAGCTGACACCTTCGCTCCCTGGGATGTGCAGGGAGGTGCTCATGAAGACGATTGCAGGGTTTCCAGTAAGTGGTTCCTGCCCAGCCTGGACTCCTGTGGGGAGAGATCCTTGGGACTTGGACATTTTATTTCTGACAGGGCTTGTTCTTGGGCTGATCACTTCATCTCGGTTAGTACCCCTGTGTAGCAGCCCTGTTTAGATGCCCCTTTCAAAAACCAAATTATACTGATTTCCCCCACTGCTGATCTGAGAGATGGTGGTGGGGGAGGATTCTTAACGTAATCAGGCCAAATCATTGCCTTATTCACAGTGTCACATACTTACAAGGATGCTTTTCCACCTCCTCTTAATGCAGACTAATGGAAAGATTTAATACCAGTTTATTTCATCGTAGCTATTGTTTTACTAGTAATAATGGAAGCAAATAGAATCGTGAGAGTAGTAATGCCGCCTCTCATTTATTTTGAGCTTTTGGGTTTTCCTTTTTTTTTTTTTTTTTAAGATTTTATTTATTTATTTGACAGAGAGAGACATAGCGAGAGAGGGAACACAAGTAGGGAGCGTGGGAGAGGGAGAAGCAGGCTTCCCACCGAGCAGGGAGCCCGATGCGGGGCTGGATCCCAGGACCCCAGGACCTTGACCTGAGCCAAAGGCAGACACTTAATGACTGAGCCACCCAGGCGCCCCGAGGTTTTGGGTTTTCCTATGGTATGTTATTTCTGTGATGGCTCTCGTCAGCCAAGGCAGATGTCAAGAGTTTCCACTTAATGGCAAGGGAAGGGACAGAGGTTCACAGAGATACTACTAAAGGATCTTAAAAGACACAGTAGTTATTCAGATGACAATCTGTTTTGCGGGCATTACCTGACCCCAAATTCAGGACATTCATTTTGCTGGTATCTGTGATAGTTTCTAACCCCACGGCAGCTCTGACAATATTCTCAACCTTTATGTTACTTGGATGGTCTCTGTTGGAAGGGCCACAGCTTTATGAATTTAAAAAGCCTGTTTAATACTCACTTTTCTCTTACTCCCCCGTGAATCGTTATTGTTATAATTTCGTAAAATGTTATCGCTTCCCGTTTTGTTGAGAGTAAGTGAAGAATATGTAACATGAGGCCCCTTGTTTCTGTGATGTTTATGATGACAGAACTTCTAGTTCTAATATTTCAAGCAGCAAACATGCATCCAAAGTTGTCCTCATCAGAATTGCTAATGAGCATAACTTTAAACCCTCCATAATCTTTGATGGTTTGGTGAAGAGCACTGACACCATTTTTTCCCCTCAGAGATACTCTTTGTCTGTCACTTACATCCGTGGTACTCGTGAGAAGGCTTGCCTTTATTATTTTGAGTTATTGGTATACTGCTCTTCAGACACTAAAAGGACAAAAACTGGTGAGAATCAAGTAGGGGATACTCTTTATATTAACTTTGGTTAATGTAAAGTTATATAATATAACTGAGTTTTCTATGTAGTCAAAGCCATCTGCAAACACGGGGCTGGTATGCAGCTGGGTATGACGACGAGGAGAAACACACGTCCTTGTCTTCTCCCAAATGTTGTCTCTGTTTAACTTCATGAGCATAAGTAGGAAGAAGAACATATAGGAAATTGTGTTTTTACAGTTACTCATAAACGGAGGTAGTCATCAGAGAAAGGGCTTTAAACTGCAGGGAAAGATCCTCACACATTAGAGGTAAAGTATCAGTGAAGTTATGAAAACTATGTTTTAAACCATTTGTAAAAAAGTGGAACTCAATTTCTCTCCAGTGTTCTGGAAGGTAAAACAAAACCAGTCACCACAGTTTTAACGATGGCTGACGTTCGTTGTGTTCTCCCTAGATGCCAGGCACCGTGCTGAGTTTGATACATGACTTATCTTGTTCCATCCTCCTAACCCTGCAAGGTGGCTGTTATTCTTTTTCTGTCCTATGGTTGGGGAAACTGGCAGAGGGAGTTTAAGAAATGTGCTCAAAGCCACAGGGCTGGTGAGTGATGGAGCAGGGTTCTCATGCTTTCTTGTCGGGCTTGGTCACTGCAAGAGGCTGATTCTCTCATGGATTACAGGTTCCTTATTCACTTCATTATTTTCCCTTAAGTTATTAATTCATTAAGAATTAGATTTATTTCCTCCACAAGAATGTGACCTTTTCTTGGTATTTCCATATTTCATTTTATTTCACTTGATACTTTGACAGCTTTTTCTCCCTCCTTTTCTTGGCAAGGTCAAGAATTTTGTTTTGTTTTGTTCTGTTTGGGCTTTTTGCTTAATTTTAATTTTTTTTAAACTGGGCTTTATGTGCAACGTGGGGCTTGAACTCACGACCCCAGATCAGAAGTCGCACGCTCTACCACCTAAGCCAGCCAGGCGCCCCAAGAATTTTCTTTTTAATGTAATTTGTTTTCTTGTTAGGTCAAGACTGACTCTGTTAAAGTAAGCAGAAAGAATATTATTATTTCTTAATTAACTTTTAGTTAATAATTTCATTTTTCCTTTAGGGCCGTGATTCTAGAAAAACTGTACTGTTAAATCCATTTGTTGGCCTAACTATCATCACCCTCCTCCTGTTGCTAAGGAAACTGGGCAAGAGAGAGGCTGTAAATTTCAGCTCTAAACTATTATACTAAAATCAGTACTGCTGTGAAAAAGGAAGTATACATCCCCCCTTATGGTCTGAAGTCATTGTCAGGAGTGGAGGTTACGGGAGGCAAACAAGAATGTGTTACAGGGTGTGGATTCCTTGAAGGTAGAGCCCCCCCCTTCCTCCCCAGGCAGACTGGAGCAGGGGTTTGAAGGCTGGCTAGGCAGCCACATGTGCAGAGGTTAAGTGTGGGCCCCGATTGTCTGGGTTCAGTCCTAGTTGTGTCACTCAGTGACTGTGACTTTGGGTAAATTACTTAGTCTCTGTGTACCTCGGTTTCCTCAGCTGTAAAATGCGCTGATAATAGTACTTCCCCCATCAAATGAGGGTTAAATCTATGTGTCATGTTTAGCATGCTATCTGGCATATAGTCAAGCACACGATGTGAACGGTTACAGTTTGTCGTACTGTCATTCAGGGGTTAACATGGCCTCCCTGCGAGGCGATGAGACAGCGACACAAGTCTGTGCCTCAAGTGGTGACTTGTTCAGGCTCAGACAGCTGGGCCGCAGGGGACCCGAGGTTTGGTACACACAGGAGGTCTCGTGATTCCATCGGTCGCGCTGTGGACCTTGGAGCTCCCCAGCCCTCCTCTTTGTGTGGAGGTGAGGCTGATCTGGCCAGAGGTCTTGTACACTGTTTGACGTATGCCACCCCCCTTCCGCATCATCGGGCTCTGCAGCAACGGGGCTCATGTGTTTGCACGCCCAGAAATCTTGAGTCACCAGTCCAGGCCTACCACGCGTATGGGCATACTGCGTTCTAGAGGCCAAAAACAAAACAAAACAAAACAAAAAAAACGCCGAGGATCTAGGCTGTACTTGTAAGAACTTGTTTTGCAGATCAGATGAATGCACAGGGATGAACGTGCAGAGGAAGGAATAAATAGGCAGGAAACAAGCGAACTCCTGGCTCTCCCGATCCCCAGCTGTGTGACACCAGAGAGACCCACCTCTCCAAGCCTGCTCCCTCCCATGTAAAATGGGGACATAATTGTGTGCTACCCAGACTGCGTGTATATGTTTTATTTTTCAGCTTTACTGATGTATAATCAAATAAATATTGTATACATTTAAGGTGTACAACTTGATGTTTTAATATACAATGTGAAAGAATTGCCACAATCAAGCTAATTAACTTATCCATCACTTATTATTACTCGTTTAGCTGTTTCCTTTTTCTTTTCTTTTTTCTTTTCCTTCCCTCCCTCTCTCCCTCTCTCTCTCTCTCTCTCTTTTTCTTTCTTTGCTTAAGATCTACCCTCATAGAAACTTTCAAATTGACACTATAGTATTATTAACTATAGTCAATTGCTGCACACCAGATAGACCTCTAGAACTTAGTCATCTCGCGTAATTTGTGCCCTTGACCACCCATCCTCCAGCCCCTGGCAAACAGCACTGTCTTCTTCTATGAGTTTGGCTGTTTTAGATCCCACACGTAAGTAAGGCACACCACATTTGTCTCTCTGTGTCTGGCTTATTTCACTCAGCATAATGTCCTCTAGTTTCTTTTATGTTGTCATAAAAGGCAAAATTCCTTCTTTTTAAAGGCTGAATAGTATTCCATCGTATATATATTTGTTATGTATATATTTTAGGTAATATGTGTGGATTATGCCAACCGCACAAAAAAGTAATTAGGTTCTTACATGCTTTCAAGTTAGATGGGGTGGGCTGAGAATCTATTTCCAGTAATTTTATTTGCTTCTTTTATGCTATTTTATTTTTAGGGCATTGCTCCCAAAATAGAGTTTTCTACAAGGACAGCCATCAGAGAACGAGTGTTTCTGCAAAGAAACAGATTTTCTGTAAGTATAACCAAGAAGCCAGTGATAGAACTGTCATGAATTTTCTCCATAGATTTAAAGAATTTCAGCCCCAACTTGGTTACCAAGTTTAGATGGCAACTGGATGAATAGAAACCTGGAGATTTATCACTAGGCTTGAATTTCTATATTCAGACTGTTCAGCCTATCACATTAGACTGAGTGTGTTTGACATGTATTCATCATGGTATAGTTAGTGGAACAAGGGATATAAAAGCTAAAATCACAAGTTTGACATAAGTAGGCCAATTAGCTTTCTTGTTATTGTTTCACGACTTTTACTCTTGATCTTATGAATAACTGTGTTCCTTCTTTCTTTTGCTGAGGCCGCAGCTCAGAGTTGTATTTGTGGGTCCTCTAGGCCTTGGGGCATCCTTGAGCACCCCCTCCATTTCACTGTCATGTTCAGCCCTAATTTCCCCATCACACTGATTGCTTTTGGTCTTTCTTTTTACCTTGTTGTACATAATTTTTAACGATTTAAAATCCTTTGTAGAACAATATGGAAAATGAATGAATGTAATTCGTAAAGTTTCTTCAGGTACTTTGCTTGTCATCCCAAATCTTGCCTGGTGTCTTGGAAAATCCTTGGAAGTGTAGGCTGTGGGTTAAGGGGTACTGAATGCAAAGGTCATTAATCTGTGCAAAGCCATCAATCCTCTGGGCATCATGACTCATAATAGGAGGCAAATGATTAATTTTAAGGAAGGCATTCACTGCTTTTTATTTTTTTAAACATTTTTAAAATTGATTTATTTATCTTAGAAAGTGAGAGAGAGAAAGCATGAGCAGGAGGGGCAGAGGGAGATGGAGAGAGAATCCCAAGGAGACTCTACACTGAGCACAGAGCTGGACATGGGGCTTGATCTCATGACCCTGAGATCACAACCTGAGCCGAAATCAAGAGTTGGTTGCTAGCTGACTGAGCCACCCAGGTGCCCCTGCACTGTTTGCTTTTCAGTTTTTCCCTATTTACCCACTATTTTCTCCAGTCTGATATGGGTGCACAGTGATCTTTCAGTCTGTCTCTCTCTTCCACTCCACCATTTTAATCTTGTTTTGGCCTCTTAATATAGGTCTTCCATTAAGTGTTAACTTTTTAAAGTAATAGCTCTTACTGTTTTTTTTTTTTCTTATAACAAAAGTATTTAGTTTAGAAAACTAGAAAATACAGATAAGCAAACAGGACAAAATAAAAATAAAATTGCCTGTCATTCTTATTATGTAGGGATGGGCATGACTCATTTTTTTGAGTATATTCTTCCATACACACACACACACACACACACACACACACATTATTTTAATTTTAAAAGACTGGGATCATGCAATACTGCATATGATTTTGTATCTTTCCTTTTTGACTTAATATGCCGTGGACATGTTTCTCACATCCTTTTTTAAGATTTATTTATTTTAGAGAGAGAAAGAGCATGAGCAGTAGGAGAACGAGAGAGAGAATCTCAAGCAGACTCCATACTGTGGGTGGAGCCGGATGCAGGGCTCGATCTCACAGCCCTGAAATCGTGACCTGAGCCAAAATCAAGAGTCAGATGCTTAACCGACTGAGCCGCCCAGGCGCCCCGTTTCTCACATCCTTAAGTATTGTTACGCCAGGCCGTTTTTCACGGCTTCATAGTTAGCTGTTGTATGGACGTACCGTGATTTGGTCAATGGTTTTCCTGTTGTTGGGCACTTCACTGAGACGGTAATCAGAGTCCGGTGAGGAAAACAAACCACACCTGTTCTTTTAGTAAAAAGATTTAATTAATTAAATCTTTTTTTTTTTTTTTTTAAAGGCCAAACAGGGGTTGAAGGACTGGAGAGTAAAAGGGTCACTGAAGTGACAGACACAGTAACTAAAGGAAACAGCTTCCATCCCTAGGGCTGGGGAACCGGGAAGAGGTGGGGTCGTCAAGGACGTAGGAGCCTGAGGAAGAGACCGCACACAGGTGGGACCAGACCTGTGGGGAGGGGCTGCTTGCCTGGGTGCTTCCTCGGGGGTTCAGAGGCAGGGCTCTGACGCATGGGACTCAGACCTCTGTGAGGGACAGTGCTCACTGCTGGGGTCTCTGGAGCTTGGAGGGAGGGTCCTGTGGGGCAGGACTCAAAGCTCTGGGGCGGGGGCACTCTGGCTGGCTGGTGCTGGGAGGTCTGAGCCGGGCACGGTGAGGCTCGGTCTGGGGTTATGAGGGGAAAACTATACACTGGCACCGTGTGCCTCTCTCAAGGTGAAGCCCGGTTGCTGGGGTGATGCTGTCGGGAGTAGAAGGCAGAACTGGGAGTGGGAGTCCTGGCTTCCTCCTCCCAGCTTGCCGCCTCCTTCTAGCGCCTCCTAGTGGTGGAACCTCTACTGAACAGCTGAAAGAGCAGAAGGGTTTGCCCCAGTACCCTCAAGCTGATATATTAGAGCAAGGTGGGTTTGGAGCGCAGTGGAAATTGCTTACTCACCAGTATAGCTGATTTCTCATTTTTTGAATGGTTATAAGAATGTCTGTAGCTGGAGCATCTGGGTGGCTCAGTCGGTTAAGCATCTGCCTTCGGCTCAGGTCATGATCTCAGGGTCCTGGGATCGAGCCCCGCATGGATCTCCCTGCTCAGCGGGAAGCCTGCTTCTCCCTCTCCCTCTGCCCCTGCTTGTGTTCTCTCTCTCAAATAAATAAAATAAAGTCTTTTTTTAAAAAGGAAAAGAATGTAGCTATACACATACATAATTATTTCCTTATAATAAATTCCTTGAAAAATTGCTGGACCTGGGTGTGGGCCAGATTCATCCCCCCCATCAATCATCATGATGAGGGAGGAGTGTCTGATACCTTCCAACTTTGTCCTACTGCAAATAATTTTCACTGTTTCTGGTTGAAATATATTACTCCAGCGAGTTATAACTACTAGTGATGTTAAGCTGAGCTAAAGAAAAACTAAGGAGAGAATACCCTTTCTTAAGTTCATGTTTGGCAAATCTGAGATGTTCAGTCTTCTTCCTTAAACAAAGTTCAGTTCAATATAGTTATATTCTGATTGAATTTATCTTCTTTTTTCTCCATTTTCCATTTTTTAAAAAACAGTGTTTCTTGTTTTGGTTTCAGGAAGAAAAATATAGTAAGTCAAGAAGGCCTTTATCTGCAACAGATGGACCCAAGCTCCCCATAAATAATATGAAGATGAAGCCAAAGGAGAGTAATCTCAACAGACTGCCCCAAAGCATGCAGTCCCGTGCTCCCTCTCCTGTTTCCGCCCGGCGCTGCTTTCACGACCAGCCAGCTCAACTGAACCTTGGAAATAACGTCAGATTCTCCGGGGGAAGCAAACCTCCATTTGTAGTTAGACACGTGAGCCTAAAATTATTTTTCAGAGTCTGGAAGGGTGAAGGTGCAAATGAGGATAAAATCCAAGAAGGTTGGGCCATAAAAACAAATGGGTGATATTAAATAAAGAGGGAATTCATTTTGAGCTAGAAACATTTCATTTTTTTATCTATTATTTTTTATGTATTTTTGTATTATGTTCAATTAGCCAACATAGAGTACATCATTAGTTTTGGATGTAGTGTTCAATGATTCCTTAGTCGCTTATAACAACACCCAGTGCTCATCACCACACATGCCCTCCTTAATACCCATCAGCGGGCTAACCCATCCCCCCACCCCCTCCCCTCTGAAACCCTCAGTTTGTTTCCCGGAGCCCAGAGTCTCTCATGGTTTGTCTCCCTCTCTGATTTCTTCCCATTCAGTTTTCCCTCCCTTCCTCTGTGGTCCTCTGTATTATTCCTATGTTCCGCATAGGAGTAAAACCATATGATAATGGTCTTTCTCTGCCTGAGTTATTTCACTTAGCATAATCCCCTCCAGTTCCATCCATGTTGATGCAAATGGTGGGTGTTCATCCTTTCTGATGGCTGAGTAACAGTCCATTGTATATATGAACCACATCTTCTTTATCCATTCATCTGTTCATTTTTTTAAAAAGATTTTATTTATTTATTTATTTATTTATTTATTTATTTATTTATTTATTTATTTATCAGAGGGTGAGAGAGAACACAGCACGGAGGAGGGGCAGGGCCAGAGGCAAAGGGAGAAGCAGGCTTCCCGCTGAGCAGGGAGCCCAATGCGGGGCTCGATCCCAGGGCCCTGGGACCATGACCTGAGCTGAAGGCAGAGACCCTTAACTGACTGAGCCACCCAGGCGCCCCTAAAGAGGGAATTCAAATTGAATAATAACTATGATTAGATGAAGTTTGCTGCCTAGAGTCATTGTCAGGCAAGTCATACAAAGATGTCTCGTGCAGAGGACTTGCTCAGTAAATGTCAGTCATCCCTATTTTTAATTTTTGAAAATTATTAATAGAGTGTGATGCCTGCTTGTGACAACCTGCCATTTTTTTATCAGCAAACTGACGGGTAGAAGACACACATAACAAAGGCCGGCATGTGCTCTGTAGCAATAGAAAAGGACAGCTTCCTATGTTTTAAAGAAAACTGCTTGAGTTTTTAAAATGAGGTTGTTGTTCATTGTCAGGACAAATGTGTCTGCAGGAAGAAGCAATGATGTGCCTACTCAAAGCCCTTCCTTAAAGCTATCTTAGATTTAGCCCCCAGGAAGTAGCGGATAAATGTAATTACACTAGCCTCCTGACATTGTGTTGCCTGTGAAAGTAATGGAAAATAGAGAAAAATTAAAAAAAATTACCTATTGGCTTACCAGAATATGAATAAAAATTTTATTTCATTTAGTGCATTTCCTTTCACTTTTTACAATTTCATAAGGTTTTTTACCCCATAAAGCTGTAATTATACTGGATATACAGGCTAGTTTCTCAATATATATATGGTTAATATTACATTAAAAGCATTTCCTATAGCACGTTGTGGTTAATGACTTATTCTCAAAGAGTTATTATAACTTCAGTAGTTAACTGTTGATATTCTTGCCAAGTTGATAACTTGGCTTAAAGTTACCGGTGGTGTTTATGCATTAGACATAAGATGTGAAGCATTGTCAGCCCCGAAGTGAGGGTGCTGTTGATTGGGACGACGGTATGCAGAGGTGGTTTGTAGGTACAACAGATGTTATTTGGCTAGAAAACATAGAACAGCTGTTTTCCTTGTGGTCACCTGGGTAAAAATGGCCAAAGTCTAGCAACCAGTCTTTAACCAACTGAACCACCCAGGTGCCCTAGCAACCAGTCTTTAAACATGGCTTTATAAAAATATTGTTGAATTGAATTTATTGGACAGTCTGCTTCATTCCATTTGAAATAGATTTTTGTGAAGTACACTGTAGTCGAGGCCCCTTGGGCTAAATAATCTTAAAATCTTGGTAGATTTCATAGGGAATAAAACTGGCTTGATATTTATTTTATTTAACAAATTCTTGTACAGCCTCTACTATGTACCATGCTCTTTTCTAAAGGCTTTATACATACTAACTCTTTTATTTAGCCAGATTTCCTGATCGTATGTGATGTTTAGGTAGAAGCATTAAAATTTAGAGGGCCTAATGTCGTGAAGACTAGACATTCTAATCAGTATGTTTCTGAAAGTAGGATGAAGAATAACATTATCACTTGCTTTCTTGAAATTAAAAAAAAAAGAAACAAGATTAAAAAAAATCCAGCAACTCTATGTCATAAATATTCTGGAGGAGTCCCTATTTCACGTGTTTGGAACTGCTTACAGATCATGTTATCCAATTCAGGAAAATAAGGTCACATTCATTAAAATAATGCAGTTGCCACTGTTCTTTTTTTTCAAGGTTCTAGACACTCAGATTGGAAGGGAGTGTGGATGGCTGAAATGTCAGCTGGTGATAATCCCTTGTCTTCAGGGAGGACCCCACCTAGGCCAGCACTGCTCACTGTTTAGGAACATGAAACTTCTGTCCTGTTTTGAAGTATTTTGAAATAAACTTCACTTGCTCTTTTCTGAGCTCGACCCTGAAACTGTGGTTAGAATATAATTTGTGTCCGACTTTATGCTAACATTTAGCCCATACCTACGTGTTTAAGCCTCAGTAAAATAGGGATAAACAGCTTCCCTTGTTGGGATAACATTTAACGTGCATGGAGACTGTGATTTAATTTGATCCTAGCCTCTTCTTACCGGCATGGCCCACAGGTGAGGGGGAAAAAGGCATTACAGGTAATGAGGAGAGGGTAACGCAAGCGATGGTGGGTTCAAATCTTATTTCTTCCCTTTCTTTCAGGTGGACAGTGCAAAGCCTTTTGGTGAGACTGTTTCAGAGTATCAGTCCCAGAAGTCGAGAAGAAAACTTAAGTTTTCAAACTTGCCTTTTCCGGGGAGAAGAGGTACTCGAGTTTCTCATTACTCCCCCCCCCCGTACATTCCCCATTGGGAACGAATGCATCCTCCTTCTAAATCTTCTTTCATTCTGGGGCATCCCGACTTTCTCTGGAAACTCGAGGCCTAATTCTCAAGTAGCGTCCAGCTGTGGAGTTTGCAAGGTGGGAGCTCCCTTGGAGCAGAGCTGGATGAGAAGCTGTCCCTTGTCCAGTTTCCCTAGCTGTTGAAAGAGTGTGCTCTGAGTAATGCCACCACCCATGTGCTCTGCTGCAGGTGCACCCTGGCTGGGCCGGACACCCAGGGGACGGCTTGTTCTGGTGTGAACGCCCTCAATGAACACTGAGAGCTCACAGATGAGGCTTCCCATTTCTCTAGACGGGCAAGAGTGGGAGCTTGGTGGAGATCAGGAGGTGTAACATTTGCTTTACAAGATTGCGGATCAGGGAGGAGAGGAGCCAATGCTCCCTGAAAGGAGATTCAGTGTGGCTAAGGCAGGGAATCCCAACCGTGGAGGCGTCAGGACCCTTTTGCGTTCTTAAATATTATTGAGGACCCCAGAACACTTTTGTTTATGCGGATGAGATCTATTAATATTTAGCATATTAGAAATGGAAGCTGAGAAATTTGTAAAATACAGGAGTACACAAGCACACATTCTGTTAGCCATTCCGAGTGGTGATGTCATGACACATCATGTAGCTTTTGGAAAATTCCATTGTACGGTCATGAGAGAATGAGAAAAAGAGTGTTATTAGAAGAGTCTTGACCTTGCAGATCTTCTTGGTGACCCTGGGGAGATCCCTGGGCGCACCATATGTTGCGAGTCACTGAGTTAATGCATCCCTTGGCGGCACTGACCTTATAATTGAACCCCCTGCACCGTATCAGCTCTGAAGGTCATGGCAGTGAAGTTCATCCATTCCTGAACTTGATCAAAATGCTGGCCCGTTTTCTTGACTCCTGGTGGAAGTAGACCTAGACCATCCCTGACAACAGGTTCCCTATGTTAGGTTTAAAGTCTTGTACTTTTAAGGGGCTGCACGGTCTCTTTTGGTAACTCAGACTAGTGCTCTTGGTTATGGTGACTGTTAGTAGCCAACTAGGGACGGAGTGCAGTTTTGAGGCAGAAAGTGCTTTATCACCTCTGACATTTAATTTAAGTCTTTTGGGTTGAAAATCACCCACGTAGCCTATTAAAGCAGTACTGCCTTCCCTATTATGGTGAAATCAAACAATGGCAAATGTCCTTTCCAGGGACGACACGTCGGGCTTAATGCTGGCTCGGTTATGATGAGACTCTCACGCATTGCACTGGTCTTGGTCTCTTTGTCTTTTCTTAACCCTGGCAGGTGGAGAAGGGAGGCTCCAGAGAGCTTACAGGGTGCGCACTGGTCATGCCCCCAGTTTTGGCACGCCTACGTTTAGAGGAGACACTCAGACCTCTGGTTTCTCAGACCCCTGGAGTCCCTGTAGCTTCCAAGCCAAACCTTTGCTTAGGTCACCTGTCAGCTCATTCACCCAGACCTTTGCTTAGGTCACCTGTCAGCTCATTCATCCAGACCTTTGCTTAGGTCACCTGTCAGCTCATTCATCCAGGCCTAAGGTAGACTAAAGCAGTGCTTCTCAAACTTGAATGTGCATTTGAATCACCTGGGGATCTTGTTCAGCTGTAGATTCGGATTCAGCAGGGCTGGGGTGGGGCCTGGGAGCCCTCTTTTCTGACAGGCTTCCAGGTGATGATGTGGCTGGTCCATGGACTGCACTTTGAGAAGCAAGAGAACAAGGGCTAGCCCCCTGTGAACGGGAGTGCTTCAGATGGTGGCAAGGGGGTTTCTAGGCAATGGGCAGGTTTGGGGCTATAGCTGAAGAGGGCCTTAGTATTGCCAGTCCCCTGCTCAGCTGGGAGTTGGGAAGAAGACCGCTTCTGGGGCAAGACACCCCCGCCCCCCGCTACACACACGTGCATGCCTGGAGGATGCAATGACTGCCAGGCTTTTAAAAAAGCCCTTTCCGTATCTTCCTTCTGACTGCCAGTGGCATGGGGGAATCAGCAATCCACGAAAAGCCCCTTGTCACTGCCTAAGTCCCAAGCGTAGAGGGGGCAGGCACGGTGGCCTTGGCATAGCCTTGCAAAAACTCCTTCCAGAAGCATTATTTTTTTTCCGAATTTGGAAAAACCCAATTTAATCTTGATGTTGCCTGTGTGTGTTTATCGCTTCACTCCCTAATCGCTCTTACTACTCTCTGGCTTTAGGTCTACTTACTTATGATTGTGTAGGGTACTCATCATGATGTGCACTTTTCCTGCATTTTGCTCTCCCCAGCTCTTGTCTGTTCATTGTCTCCACCTAATATGTGTCTCTATCTTGGACAAGTATGCTTGAGATTTCCTGCCTAAATAGGAATCCACGTAAAGCAGATAGAAGGGGAGTGGCAGAAGAGGCAGTGGGTGAATTTTGTTTATATGAGAGCCACACGGTTTTCTTTTAGGCTCTGGGCACCTGGGCCAGTATGAGTTTTGTTTTCCAGGCTGTGTGAGGATTACCGAATTTATGGCTTCCCTTTAAACTCTCCTTTGCCCTTCCCACGTCCCTCTGTGCTGTCGTTAATAATATAACTTCACTGGGCCTCAAGAGGACAGAGACACTCCTAGATAGGATCGCTGTGACTCAAGGGACTTGTAAGAGTTGACAGTGTAACTTACAAGGGAGCATTTAAGTTCTTTAATCATTCATCCCTGCGTAATATTTCTGTGCTCCGTGGAACAAATGTTAACAGTGGTTTTAGGGGTAATTTGTAGTAATTAGTCACTGAAACACCTCTTCCTCTTTCTTCTAGCTTCTTCTCTTGACAGCCTTGCCGCTAACGTAAAGGTAATTGTAGAAGTAACATTTGTAAAATGATTTATTTTCAGCTTCTAATGCCAGTTATTGTGCATTCCCCAATGAGTGGTGGAAAGTATATTTCTAGCAAGTGCTGCTTATGGAAGTGGAGTTGCTGTAGGTTCACCAGTTTGAGAGATGCCCAGGCTCCGCTGAATGCTTTGCATTTGTTGGTCTCTTTCCCCTCACCTAAGCTCTTTCCCTCTGTAGAATGAATCCCCCATGTATATGGCCCCAACACCTACTTTATGAGTAGGTATTCTTATTGCTTTTTTTTCCTAAATGAATACTTTCATAATGCATAGAGGTGGTAAACCACTTGCTCTTGAAGTTTGATTGGTTTGTCAAGGTGAAGGCTCAAACTTCTTTGTTACAACATGAAAATAGACACAGGCAAAGAAATGGAGTATACGGTGCTTTTTATGCTGTGGCATTTAAATAGTTTATTTAAAAAACATTATATCTTTGCCAAACCCGATAATCCCTTATGCTCACAAATCAAAGCTCAGAGCATGAGTTTATTTTGGCTTGTTAATATATGCCAAATGTGCAGAATTTTGCTTATCTTTCCTTGACCTTGAGCTTCTGAGCATTTTGTCTCAGTGGGACAAAAGCGGGAGCTTTCCTGGGGGGCAGGCCTTCTATCAGCTTGTCCGCTTCCTCATCCTACCCACCCCCAGCTCTAAATTCAGCATACGAAAACAAAATCACAACTAAAGAATAATGCACATTGTCACTTAGGTCATCAAAGAGCCAGATGAACGGATTGTTTTAAGGAAAGAATCACCATCACCTTTAGATTCCAGTAAGTTTGGAAAACCCTCGCCCATTTACAGTAACCAAGGGGATGCCGATTTCCACGGGGAAGCTTCGTTTGCTGCCTCCCAGCATTCCAGATCTCCCAGCCCTCTTCTGGATCAGCCCCTTCTCTGCGACGAAAGGTTAGTGGCAAGCCCTCATTTATTTGCTTGAAGAGTGTGATGTGGTCTAGCAGGGGGAAATCCTGGTCATTTCATCACTTTGCTTCCTTAGGGATATTCAGCTGGGGATATGAAAAATCACTATTCCTTTTTAAATCTTCCTCGAAGGAAGAGTTGAGCCTTTTCTCTTGCCTGTGGAAAGCGTATCTCAGAATGTTTGTTGAAAATGGGACAAACAGCTCACTTGGCATAGATGCTATTTATCTATCCATTTTGTCTTTCATAAAAAACAAATGGAGTGAAAAAAAATCACCCATAGTCCTGCCACACAAAGCCGAAGATTATTAACATGTAGGTGTATTTTCTCTTTTTCTAGACATGTTTTCTTGGTTTATTTATATGATTGTCACAAATAATACTCCTCCTACCCTCACAATTGCATATATGTGGAAGGCAGGCCAGAAATCGAGAGAGGGACCTCTATTTTCCAAACTGCGCCATCTGGTAAGATGACCAGCTATCCGGCTGGCCTGGCACTGCTCTGACTTTAGCCCTTAAAGTCCTGCATTCTGGGAAATGCCTGACTCTCAGGCAAGCCAGGACAGTTTGGTCACCTTAACTCCAGGAAAATGGCACTGAAGATAATATATATATATATATATATTTTTTTTTTTTTAAGATTTTATTTGACAGAGAGAGACACAGCGAGAGAGGGAACACAAGCAGGGGGAGTCGGGGAGGGAGAAGCAGGCTTCCCGCCGAGCAGGGAGCCCGATGCGGGACTCGATCCCAGGACCCCAAGACCTTGACCTGAGCCGAAGGCAGATGCTGAATGACTGAGCCACCTAGGTGCCCCTGAAGTTAATATTTTTAAGACAGTTGTTAAAAATGGATAGTTGACATATTAGTTTCAGGCATACAACATAATGATTCCATATTTGTGTATATTGCAAAGTGATCATCACAGTAGATCCAGTTTACATCGGTCACCATACATAGCTACAGAAATTTTTTTCTTGTGATGAGAACTCTTAAGATTTATTCTCTCAGCAGCTTTTAAATGTGCATTATGGTGTTAACCATAGTCTCCATGTTGCCCATTATGTCTCCGTTATTTCTTTTATAATAGGAAGCTTGTACACTTTGACTCCCCTCACCCCTTGAGTCCGGCAACCACCAGTCTGGTCTCTGTACCTGTGAGCTTGTTCGTTTGTGTTCTTCCTTAGGTTCCACATATAAGTGAGATCATATGGTTTTTGTCTTTCTTAAGACAGTTGTTCTGAATGAAGGATATGCCAGTCTGCTCTTCTCTGCACTGTTAGTGATGAGAATAAGAGAAAGCCCCATGTCAGAGTGACATGATTGCTCACAAAGGGACTAGGTAGTAAATATCCCAGAATGAAAGTCAGAATGCAATGAAAGCCCTGCAGTTTAAATACAAATTATATTAAGTTTGACTAAGACTAGGAAAGTGGCAGTGCAGTCTTAGTGTTTTGTAGAAATGATAAAATACTTTTATATTAAAATGTTGTATCATGGACTTGAGGAAACCAAATCAAATATTTTAATAAAATCTATTAAAGAATGGAGAATTCCTGATTAGTTACTTTTTTAGAGGAAAATAACTTGAAATAGATTTTTAAAAATCAGCCCTGTCACCCCGAGTCAGGTGGTTGAAGACATTTACATCCCTCTCTCTACCTGGTCTTCATCTCCTCCTGGCTTATCCTCTGGACGTAAAGATTTCAAACAGAGACGGGAAAGGACCTTCAGGTGGTGGTAGTCAGGGGACTTGGGCTCTAGTGCTCATCTGTCTCTGACTGCTCTGTGATTTCACAGAAATGCTCAGCCTCGCATAGTCTCCCCATCTGTAAAATGGGTGTGATGATCAAATAGCCATTCTTACAGGTACTTGTTTTTATACATCACCCAAACTCCTCCTCATAATCAGCCTAGCGAGCATTTCTGAGGGACTGAATTGGGGCTGCGTCTTTTGAGCACCTATTAGGTGGAATGTGCATGGTCATGACGAGTCCCGGCTTGCCAGAGGTTCACGCACTAAACCGGGAGGCTGGCACACCCTCGTGCCACTGAATGTGAGACAGCTGGTGAGATGCAGTCCACAGGAGTACGGTCCAAAAGTGGGTGAGAAACAGAGCAGGAGGTGGGTGCCTTCCTCAAGAGGGAGATCCAGGAAGGCCTCATTTTTTTTTTTTTTAATAAATTTCTGAGACGGCTTACGCATTCATTCAGCCAGCCTTTCTTGAGTGTCTTTATGCAGCCGGCCAGTGATTCTCAATTGTGGCCCACTAAGGACTCGCCTGCTATCTACTGAGTCAGAATCCCTGGGGTTGAACTGGGTGTGCAGTGGGCGTGTAGCATCTCTGCGGGTAGAAGAGTGCCTTGGAGGAGACCAGGATTGATAGCCAGTCCGCTAGCCTGGAATGGAAACCCTAACATTTAAGACATTTCTCCTGATCTCTGGGAACTTGCAACTTAGCAGAGGATGTAAAAACATGTGCATAGAGACCTTCCAACAGGCGGAATTTTGAGAATAGTATGGACCAAATGTTATCAGAGTAGAAAGGAGGAGGAAGGAAGGCACTTCTGGAATGCTTCATGGAGGAGGTGGTATTTCCATGTGGGCCTTGCGGGATGGGGATTGGATTTTGATAGAGTTAATGGAAGGGAGGGATGGGAAGTGAGAAGGCACAGGGCACCGGCAGCTTCTAGAAGTTAGACCACCTTGGGGGAATAGTGAGTGCCAAGGCTGAGGGTCTGAGGGATGTGGAAGCCAAGCTAAGGAGTTTGGGTTTTGTTGCAAGGCAGTGGGGAGCTTTTGCAAGTTCATTCTCAGGAGTTAGCACATTTGACTGGAGGATGGTAACTCTGGCTGCAGAGCAGATTTGTATCCTCTACCTCTGATGAATCAGCAAATTCTGTGTGCCCAAAGTCGCTCTAAATGGAGAGCTTTGGAACTAATTTGACCATGAATTTGTAAATAAGGCCATGATCAACTGTGACAAGGGAAAACACAGTCACGGAAAGGCCATTTGGCTTGCCCAGGACTGTCCAGTCTTTATCATACATTAACTAAAGAGAATGATTGTATCCACATTGCTAAAATTCTTTAGGAATCTTTGGAAAATGGTATTTGTGTTTTTCATAATCAAATGGCCAATTCTGCCTCAGAGTTTAGGCCTTGGTACCCACTCCCCTCCCAAAGATGAATGAATGAAGGGATGAATCCAGTCACTCAAGAAATATTAAATACCTACAGTGGTATTCAGTACCTACGAGGCCCTGGGATGAGCTGTTCACCTAGGATTCCCCGTGCCAGCTTCAGTCTAGGGGTATCCACGGACATTAAGCAAATTCTGACCAGGGGTCACTGGTGAAGTCCCGTGAAGGAGGGGGAAATGGACTCCAAGGGCAGGTAGTAGGGTAGCCAACTTCCTCTTCTGTAGGGGGCTTGGGAAGGACTTCGCTGAGTAGTCAGTGATTGGACTGAGCTCTGAAGGTGGGTAGGGGTTCACATGAGTGGGGAATCGGGGTTGGGGTGGCAGCATTCCAGGCAGGGGGAGCTGTGGAAGGGAGTAGATGCCTCCCGTCTGAGGAACCAGAAGGCAGTGGTATGATCTGTGGTTAAGTTTGGGTCTGAGCAGCCTGAAGTAAATGAGATGAAAGATATAATGCTTGTGGCGGAAAACAGTCGCGGTTGTGTTTTGTGTTAAACATTTGTGGATTAAATTTCTAAGCATAAAAGCAGGATTGATTCTTGAGAGAAGTATCTGAAATGCTCAGTAAAGTACAAAGAAGAATCACTCACAGCCACACACGCAAACACAAGCCATTCTTCACATTGTGGTTGCTTTTATTGTCAGTGTGTATCTTATGTGTAGGGTTAATAAAGACTTTGAAAGCACACTATGTAGGGTTAATGAAGACATTGACAGTGCACTATGTATCCCAATTTGCATGTTACTGCTGCCTCTTGCTATTAAGTTATAAATATCAACCCACAGTGTTCTGTATTTGAAGGATCCTTTTTAGCAGCTGCATAATACTCCACCCTGGTTTCCTGTGTTGGGCAGGTTCCACCCTTGCTCTCAGTCCTCGTGGAGGAAGATCCACGAAAGGGCGTGCAGTCTCCTGACATCCCACAGAGATCAGCAACACCCACACAAGGTAGGACGTCATCTGAGATGATGGAATCTCTGCTGACAAAATCATAGGGGAACTGGGACATCCGGTCTGGGGCTGGGGGGCGGGGGGAGGACACAGACATTAATCCAGTAACCACAGAGATAAATGTAAAATTGTGACACTTCCCAAAAAGGGTGCCTGGTGTCCTGAGAGTGTCTGAGAGGGGGTATTTGACTTGGTGGGGAATCAGGGCAGGCTTCCCTGAGGAAGACACAAGGGAGCCTCCGTCTGAGCGATGAGTCCTAGCGAGTTTAGGCAGAGGTCCTGCAGCAAGAGAGAGCACAGTCCTTTCAAGGAGAGAAGACAGTCTCCCCGGTCCAAAGCCCAACTCCTTGCGCTGTGAACAGGAATCCCGGTCCTGGGAAGCTGTGGTCTGTGTGAGGCTACAATGTGGAAGATAATGTTAAAAGTTGATAAGGTGTTTTGGCTGTTGGACATGTGGGGTGTGGTTTCTAACCCATGGATAGATACACCCAGTACTTTGTCTACTGCGGATGTGTAGCCATTAGCCAAGGGACCGGTCATCATTTCAAAAGAACTCCATGAAAGGTTAGCAGTGCCCCCAGTGGTTGGATTTAAGGATACTGTGTCATAGTCAAAGGGGTCGTCTTGGTCTTGACTTATTTAAACACAGGCATAGCCCAGATTTATAGGGTGACACTTATGAATGAATATTGATTTTCATGGGGCGGGGTTGTAAATTACTCTGCTTCCTCTTGGCAAAGTCGTTGGTTTTGCTTTGTTAATTTCCAATCTTTTCAAGGAAATCCCTTTAAAATGTAAAAAGAAGGAAAAGAAGGGAGGGAGGGAGAAGAACAAGAAAGAAGAGAGTCTCTGTGTGCACACGCATATAGTAAACATCCCGTGTATGGCACGCATGGGGTCCGTAGGCCTTTTAAATGCAAAACCACGCATCCGAGTAGCATTGATTTATGTGACACTATGAGTAATGCAGTTGCTGGCTTGGCTTTTGTTATAGGAATATTCTATCTCTGAAGCAAAGTGTATCTTTGAAAGACCAAGCTACCTGCTGGAGGAATACCCAGTGCATGAACAGAGATATTTTTAAGCTGCTGTCTTATGTAAGTCAGCAGCTTAAGTGCTGCTTCTTATGTTGATTTGCTTAAATAATTTCCTGCTGTCACGATGAAGTAACTAGAAAATGTGGTGGACAGGAGATGGGGCAGAGACCCCAAAAACCACACAGGAGAACGATAGCACATGTGTCTGTGGTCTGCCAGGCCAGTCTCTGTCTCTCTGTCGCTCCCCTCCCTGCCTTCCCTCTTCTTTCATGGTACCTCTTCTAGCTCCTGGAACACAGGCTCTTTCCTGCCACAGGGCCTTTGCACGTGTTACGCTCTCTATCTGGAATACTGCTTCCTGGTCCTACTTGGGTCACTTCTCTTTATCCTCTGGTCTCATGACTTTACAGGACACTTCCCTCCCCTCCACGGTATACCTTTTTAGCGCCCTGCCCTTTTCTTTCCTAAAGCTGACATCATTTGTTATATTTGTATATGGGTTGATGGTTTTATAAGGGGTTGATTGCCCCTTCTATTAATGAAACCTTCTCAAGGTCAGGGACTCTGCCTCTCGTGCTCACTATTCTGTAGCCAGCTTTGGCACCCGGCAGTGGAATCCCATTTAACGTAGATGAAGTCAACTCCATATGCCAGGAGTGTGTCCTGAGCGAGAACCTAACTCTCCCTCCTGCCACCCTGCAACCACCCTTGTAGCACGTGACCTGCCACTGTGGTTGGCGCCGAGTAAATATTTCTTCGTGAATGAGTGTGGAGTGGGGTGACGAGGCAGCTGTAGAATTCGGGTCTGTGGTCAGCAGTCGGCCATACTGTGGGGTGACGTCACTCCTGAGGTGTTTTCTTCTTATCCCTTTCTACCCAGGCCTGGAATTATGAGAGCTCTTCCTTATGAAGTGCTTCCCGAGCGCCAGGAACTGGTGCAAACACTTCGCATGCATTAGATGAGTTCCTATCTAATTTTCACAACACCCCTATGAAGTAGGTTCTATCATTAGTTCTGTTTCACAGATAGGGAAACTGAGGCATCGGGAAGTTTAGGTGCCTTGCTCAAGGTCACATGCCAGTGAATGGCATGTCTAGGAATATGAATCTGGGTGGTCTGGCTTCAGCAATCATGCTTTTATTTTTTATTAAAATTTTTTTAAGGGTTTATATTTATTTATTTGAGAGAGAGAGAGAGAGAGTGCATGCGCAAGCAAGAGCACAAGTAGGGGGAAGAGGCAGAGGGGGAGGGAGAAGCAGGCTTCCTGCTGAGCAGGGAGCCCCGATGCGGGGCTCGATCCCAGGACCCCGGGATCATGACCTGAGCCGAAGGCAGACACTTAACCGACTGAGCCACCCAGGCGCCCCAACAACCATGCTATTAAACCATTACATCCTGTTGCCTCCCCAAACCTAGAGAGTGTGATAGGGGAGCCCTGGGGAGAAAGAGCAGAGCCCTTTGGAATCCGAGCAGGGTCTGTGGATAGCACCCTCGATCATCTCCCGTGAGGAGCCTACGCTGTTGTATATGCAGCAACATCACAATCATCACGAATCCTTTTAAGCCATGAAGGAGTGTGGGATGATATGCTAGGTGTTCATGCAGTCAGGCTCCTGAAAGTCTGGCTTAAGGGCCATTCATGCTTTAGGGCACAAGCCGCCTTCCCCCCAGGCTGGCCAGGACTCCCCGCCATCAGCACTGAGGAATGTGGAGGACAGCTTGGTAATAGCCCATTCTGTAGGCTTCTACCTCAGAACGTTCTGCTTGGTTGATGAAAGGATGGATTCTGGGCCACTTAATCTCCAGTTGCCAAAACAGTAATCTAGGTATTTATTAGGCGGTTTTATGGAACACAGCCCACATAATGACCACAATGGGAACATGGCCCACATAATGACCAAATGCCAAATTGTGTTGACTTTCAGCATGGGGGACATCAAGTTACATAAAACCAGCTGACACGTGGATGCTCATGGGAGGGGACAGAGAGAAGGGAAGAAAAAAAATGAGTAGCTTCTGTCTTAGAAAGTGTGTTTCCTTGGGGCGCCTGATAGGCTCAGTCAGTGGAGCGTGCCTCTCTTGATCTCAGAGTCATGAGTTCAAGCCCCGTGTTGGGGGTGGAGTTTACTTAAAAAAAAAACAAAGCAAAAAAAGAAAATGGGTTTCCTTCATGACACAAGTTCCCACCCGGTGGTTTGGAATGTGCTCGTAGGCCTTGTCTGGAAGCTCTCCATACCCCCCCGCACGTTTTGGGTCATGCATTCATGGTGAGGCAGGGGTGCTAGAGGGCCGTGTTAGTGAGAGTGTTGGTGGTTGTAAAGAAACACAGGTGACTTTGGTTCGTCTTAAGCCAACAGGCGTTTATTAGAAGGATGCTGGGTATCTTAGGGAATCTGGGGAGGGTCCGAAGAAGCAAGACCAGGCTGCCAATGGGGCAGCTAGAGCCCCCGCAGGCCGGGAGGGCGGCCCTGGGGGGGCGCCTGCAGAAGGCCCAGTGGGCTTCCGGTGCTTGTGCCGGGCCCTGCTTTTCTCAAAGACGCCCTCCTGCTCACAGCTCTACTTCTTATCTCTTGCCCTTTCCACTTCTGCTCTTCTGCTGTTGAGCAGGCATCGCTCTCCTGGATTCCTAGTGATCTCAAGACTGGGGGAAATGAAACAGAGATTCCTACCCCAGAAGGGCCAGTGACTCTTGAGCCCAAAACAGTGACTCTAACTGTCTGACAAGGCAATGGGTGGAAGAACGGGGAGGTGGGGGGCTTTGGAATACATCTGTTTCTCCTTATTCTGGATGATTTGGGACTCGGTACTTTGGGTATAAAATAGATGATCCCTTGTACACTTTAAAATGGTTAAAATTTTGTAAACATAAACAAAATTTTGTGTTAGGTGAATTTTGCCACCAAAAAAAAAAAAAATCCCATAAACCACTTCCTACCTGCCCCCCCCCCCCCCGGATTATTCCTAGTTCTCCTGGAAGGAGGGATTGTCTCTGTGTCACGGTCCTTACCAAGGGTGGGGGCTGACTGCCCATGTCTGGCATGAGCTCACTGAGACTCTGCTTTCAAGGACGGGCCTACAGGGGCCCCCTCTGTGACACCTCCTGGTCCCTCAGGCAGACCCAGGCCCTCTGCCCTCTGCTCCCAAACCTGCCTCCACTTAGCACCTTATTCCTCCAGCGCTGTATTGTAGTGGGTTTTCCGTATGATGACCCTCCCAAGAAGCGGACAGAGACTGACCAGATGGCCCCAGCTCTGACCCACTGAGTGTCCCACCACCGTGGCTGGCCTGCAGCAGGAGCTGCTCCCCTGGGCATGCTCCCAGCTGGAGGGTGGCCAAGGAACGCAGGCCTCATGTCCTCAGACGCAGACAAGAACTGTAGCACAGAAACCTCTCTCAAATCAACGAGGAGTGAAATGGAAATAAACCAAGAAAGAAACCAGAAAAGGATAGAAATTAATTAGAATGCTGGTTTCTGCTCTGTCACAGCTCATTAAGGCCTCCAGGTCCTAAGACAGTGGCTGGCACGGTTTCCACCCTCACTTGTCCCCAGTGGGCAGGCAAGAACCATGGTACCCCCTCTTCCAGGGGTCCCTTCATCTGTGTTACAACCAAAGCAAAAAGCAAACCAGCCTACAGATGCCCAGCTCCGACCTCGGGGTCCCTGGGTCTCTGATTCAGTCACAGCTTCTGAGGGGCCTGTTATTTGGTGGCTTAGGGGGATTGATACAGTGGATAATGACAAAGCTCCCTTCATCCCAGGACCTCTGGTCTCGCCAGTCCGACAGACCACACAGGTGGTGGCCGTGCACCCAGATCACGAGGCACATTCCTGGGTCAGCAGTCCTCAGTAAATCCTAGAATCACCTGGGGGTCTCTGCAAAATTCTGATCCCTGGGCCTCACTCTGGACCAATTTAATTGGAATCTCTTCGGGTGGTGCCTGGAAAGGGTATTTTTATAGATGTTCTTCGGAAGATTCTGATGCACATTTAGGATTGAGAATCTTGCAGATGGCTGCAAGCACCTTGAGATGGGGGACTTGGAACAACCCCCCAATCGTATAATGACTGTCTCCGTGCTCAAAAATATGTTCCTGTTCCATAGAATAGGATGGGGGCATGCTTAACAGCTCAGCGCAGTTTCTGTGCATTCACTACGACCCAAGGACTGTGTGAACTCCCCGGGACACTAAGAGGTAGCTACTCGGCTTTTCCTCATCCTGATGTGATGCAGAGAGGCTGGTAACTTGCCCAAGGTCACGGAGCTGCTCTGTCCTGCTCCTGCCCTGGGGCTGTAGAGCAGGCTCAGACCCTGAGGGATCCCAGGTAGGGCTATGTGCCAAGATTGGGCTAGAGTGACATCACCTTCTCCCCCTGGGTGCTGATGGCTTGCCTTTTTCTCTGTACCACATGTAGTGTGTGGAATTTCCAATTTCACAAGGGGAACTGAAGGAAAGCTGGAGGAGCGTCGTGGAGAACTCATTCCTGGAGCCAACTGACACGTCCTTAGAGAAATGAACAACAGTTTTTGTTATGTGTATGGAATCACCAGTGTCTTACCCCTGTCAAATCAAACCCTGTACTCAGTCTTTTGTGCCCAGGTAAGAGTCGTTGATTAAAGTGTTTCCTGTGTGGGGCTCATATTTTCTTGTCAAGTCGGAGAATTTGTGTTATAGTTGGTTGATGTGTTTGTTTTGAGCTCCAACTAGAAAATAACCATAGTTGGGTGGCAGGTGCTTTTTCATTTAGAAAGCACTTTTTAGAATTCTAATGAAAGTGTCAGGACGCCTTTTAAGGTGCTTCCTCACTTGTGGCACTGGATGGTTTTTTTTTTTTTTTTTAAGATTTTACTTATTTCTTTGAGAGAGAGAGAGAGGAAGCACAAGTGGGTGAAGGGGCAGAGGGAGAAGCAGACTCTCCGCTGAGCAGGGAGCCCGATGCGGGACTCGATCCCGGGACCCTGGGACCATGACCTGAGCTGAAGGCAGACGCGTAATCGACTGAGCCACCCAGGCGCCCCACTGGATGTGTTCTTGAAAAGTTTCAAAATTTTTCCTCCCATCGTCCTCCTCTCCCCCCCACCTACCCCTGCCTTCCCCCCTTCCCCCTCTTCCTGCCCTCCCTCCCTTCCTCCCTCCCTCTATCCTTCCTTCCTCAACAGATTTTACACGGACTAGAGGAAGCTGCTATTTAGAGGAATAACCTGATAAATCCTCCAGAAAAAGACTGTCAACATGATTTTCTTTTTGGTAAACCTGTTTTTTTGTTGTTTGTTTTTTAGTGTCAGGTTTGATTTACACAAAGTCCACTGGAAACTTAGGAAGAGGGAGCCTTATGTCTGGAGAATTCAGATCTTGCTCTAAAGGTTCACTTTCTAGGGTACGTTTGTGAGAGGAGACTTGTTTCTTTGGACTATCGTTTAAACCCCTCCTCTGTCACCCACCCTCCCCCCACCTTTTTTCCAGCAGTGCTTAATACACTTATACGAGGAACAAAACCTTCCTCAAATATTTCTCTGAAAGAGCTACTTTAAGTAAATGCAGTCTGCAAATATGACTGCCAAAACCAGATTTAAAATGAGTTAGAAGGGCACCCTGGTGAGATGCTCACACAGACTGAGGGGGCCGGAGGAGGGGAGGGTGGGCCTGGATGATGTGGGGCTGGAAGCACATTTGTCTTCGTGAGGACAGGCCCAGAGCAAGGGGCCCGAAAACGGAAGCCTTGGTCTTTCTTTCACATTATAACTCGGCATCTTCCTCTACCATGCCCTAAATCCCTTTTAGTGTTTAAAGGATTCAGTGAGAGTCAAATTTCCTTCTCTCATGACCACAGGAATTGGTTTGTGATGTAAATTAGGAAAACAACATTAATAAATAAAGAAGAAAAACCTTACAAAAACAATAAAACCAAGTTCATTTATTCTCTTCTCAGACTTTCAGCCAAGTAAAGGTGTGCGTGTTACAACAAGCATTTCGTCCACTTTGGAAAACAGACAAATGTTTGATTACACCTGCTTATCTCTTTCCGGTGTGTCTGAGGCTATAGTCAGTGGTTTTGATGTCAAGTACTCATTAAAAATAAAAAATACTGTGTTACAGGAAGGCTATGACACAAGTCTTGAACATAACTCCTTGATTCAGTTGAGGTATAAGATCTTAAATGCCCGTTCTTCTGTTTTTTTGTTTCTGTTTTGCAAATCAGTCTTTTTCTCTAACTCTATTGTTTATTCTTATTTTACCTTTTTATGTCTTAAGGTATTATTTCCATTTTGAGGAATCACCTTGGGGCCAGGATTGCAGTTGAGGTATTTTGCTTTGGGGGGTATATAAGAATGTGAATAATTTTGTGATGGATTGGGATTTCTTTGGGAAGATCTGTGTCTTTAAACATGATAAAACATTCCCACCTGTCTGGCCTCGATTTATTATCCTTTTTTGACTCGCACAGTTGCAGATCTGTCAAAGCCTGGAGCATATTTTCCAGGCAGGTGTGATGGGGGTCTGGGTTTGCAGAGGCTCTGGGAAAATCTCCTGGGCCCTCCACGCAAAAGCCACTGTACAAAAAGGCTGTTTTCCTAAAGTCTCTTGACTGACCCAAAGTTCGCTGAAACCTACAGACCCCGAATTCTAAATAAGATCTAAAAAACGAGAGTGCACACAGTACTTTTAACATAAAAGAAGGTGGTTGATTTTAAATGTGTAACTGAGAGGATTGATGAGTTACGTGTGCAAGTCCAGTCTAGCTCCTGGGTGCCCGGCTGCTCTTAATAATGGCCATGACTTTTCCATTAATTAGTTCCAGCCCTCTGGCCTGTCGGTGGGGGGGGGGCAGCCTGAGGAAAGGGCATGCCTTCCCGTCCATGGGTGACCAGTGGTCCTGCTGGTGCTGCTGTCCTCTGAGTAGGTGACCCATCCGCACACTCCTCGGGGACATGCAGGTTTGGAGTTCCCAGGTACTGGGAACCTGGCGGGCCATCAGAAGTGCTTCATCCTGCAGCTGCTTGGGTCTGCTCCCACCGGCCCCTGCACGCTGGGTCTGGGGCAGCTGGAGCTGTTTTGTTCATTAGAGCAAAGAACCTATGCTAAGTTTTGCCCTCAGAGCTAGGAAACTTGGCATAAACAGTGTCATGCCTAGGACTAGAGCTTTTCCTTGGTGCAAATGGGTCATTTCCAGGATGGGTGGGTTGTCCAAGCTTCTTGAGCAGAGTAAGGAGATCCCAGTCTGAAATTTTCCCCTGGGGATTCTGTATCTTTTAGAGTGATCCTCCAGCACTCCCCTAAGTATGGATTTTTCTTAGCTTTATTTTAAAAGTGCCCTATTGCCCATGGTATACTATCAGCCCTCCTCATCTACCTGTAAGAATCCCCTGCTGGGGTTCGTTTGCTCTCTGTGGCTCTGTGGGGACCACAGCTTTGCCTCTAATGAGACAGGCAATAAACATAATGTATGGGCTGGAAGGCTTTGTCTGTGTGGGAGGGCCACATGAGGCGGGGGGGCAGAGAGAACCTTCATTTCAGCACCAGGAACTCCAAGGTGACAGCACTGAAGGCCACCAGGGCCTGCCCCGGATATGGTGAAGGGGATTTGGGGGCTGCCAGACTGCCGAATTACCAGAATTAGGACTTTATTATTTTTTAAAAGATTTAGAAAGAGAGCACGAGTGGGAGGGGCAGAGAGAGGGAGAGAGAATCTCAAGTGGACTCGGTGCTCAGCGCAGAGCCTGACGCGGGCCTCGATCTCACGACCCTGATATCATAACCTGAGCCAAAACCAAGAGTTGGACGCTTAACCCACTGCACCACCCAGATGCCCCCAGAATTAGGACTTTAAAGGGAAGAGGGAGAAGAGAGACCTCCGGCACGGTAGAGCGTTTGCGCTAAGGTAAGAGTTGAAGGACACGTGTTGGGTTGTGATTGGGAAGCTTCCAAACCAGTGGGGCTGTGTTTCTGCCGGTCCTGCTTAGTGTGAATGGGTGTGGAGGGTGATTTATTCTAGGTTCTTCCACAGAGGAGGCCAGGACAAGGGCAACCTTGAGGGAGAGCTACAGCCTTGTAAAGACCTTACCATCTAACTTTAGGAGACTTGGGATCCCAGTAGAGAAGTGGAATAAAGCATTTTTTCCTTCTTGCTGCCTGGGCTCCCTCATTTTTTCATTCCTTTGTTGAGTGCCTCAGTTTGCCAGCGCTGCATCAGGTGCTTCCCAGGGGCATCATAGTGAGGGCTCTGGAGTGAGAACACCTGGATTTGAATCCTGGTTCTGCCATCTAGTGGGTAAGTGGGACAAAAAGTGACTTAGAACCCCTTTGTGTGTCTGTGTCCGTCTGTGTCCCGGAGGCAGTTACAGTATCTGCTTTGTAACGTTACTGTCCTGAGCAGAGGGAGTTAGCACATTGCAAGCACTTTCTATCAGTGCCTGGTACAAAAGAAGTCTCAGTGAGTACCGGCTGTTATTATCAGCATCTCATTTCATTATTTGAGGAAGGCATTTGGCTTTCCTCCTGCCCACTTTTTTTTTTTTCTTTTTTTGCTAAGGACACCGAGGCTCAGAAAAGCTAATGAGTGTCAGATTCAATTTCCAAACCCTGGTCTGTTTTGTCTCTCAACCTCATATTCTTTCTACCACTTTCTGCCACCCCCTTGCTTGTCACCTGATTTATCCCCGAGGCTTGTGCATACTGGATAATTCAACCTAAGGGGGTTTGCAAAAAATGAACTCAGAACACTCCAGTACAGTGACAGGGCAACTAAGGTCTCCTGACAGGAGTTGGAACGAGGCTAACCGCTTCTCGTTTAGGCAAGAGATGCTTTCTGCTCTGATTTCCGGTCACTGGGATATGTTTGTAAATAGCGTGTTTAGGAAGCCAGCTCCCTTCCCCTGCCCCCAATTAGAAATCCCTCTTCTTTGTCCTCTGGGAACTGACACCTACTTAAATTGGTATCTTGAACTGAGATAAATATCACACCTGTTTCAGTGGGATGACTTGCAGGGAAAGACCGTGTGTAATAGGTGTCATTGCTGGAAGTGCTGGGTTCACGGTAAGAAAACGCGCCATCGTGCAAGTTCATGCGTCCTTGCATAAGGGGAGTTCAGCATGGGTGAAGGATACCATCCCATGTTCATTGAGTCCTGAGGTCTCCCAGCCCTGACAGTTCACCAGATTGATTCCACAGTCTCGTATGGAATCACTCGATTTGTATTTATTAAGCTCCTACTATGTGCTCAGTACTGTATCGTGCCCTGGGGGGTGGGGGTAGCGGATGAGCTCTGTAAGGACTAAAAGATACGGCCTGTGCCTTCCTGGAGTCTCTGGACTCGCTAGGGCACTGAGATGTGACTGAGAAGCTGTTGCAAACTCCGATGTCTTCAGGACCAGGCAGGATTCGTGACTGCCAGAAGCAGTGAGTGACGGGGACTGGGTGAAAGGGAGAGTCTTAAGTCCACCCCCCTCCAACTCCCGCAAAGTGTTCAAATTGTTCAAGTTCAAATCTAAAACAACAAAAGCCTCTATGGTAATGTAAAACTGGTCTGTAGCTGAAGCTTGTCCACAGCCACGTGTTTTGACTTGTATTTAAGGATATCAAATAACGAGGGGCACCTGAGTGGCTTAGTCGGTTAAGCATTCCGACTCTTGGTTTCCGCTCAGGTGGTGATGATC